ACATCTATCGTCCTTATCTCCCCTTCTTCTTTTTTATGTTTGTTACTCTCTTGTAACACCTCTAATCTTCTGGCGCTCATATGACCTTATTATGCAGTTGCAAGCGCCGTAAAACCTCTACTAAAACTAACTAAAGTATTCATGATTGTAAACAAAATGATAGTGAATACATTTGTGACTGTAAACAAAATAATGGTGAATATTTTCATTATCGTTAACAAAATAATGATGAATGTTTTCATTATTGTAAACAAAGTAATGCGGAATGTTTTTAATGATTGTAAACAAAATAAAGGTGAATATAATTTTTCCACCTTGATTGACTCAATTTACACAAGGGGTCTTAAACTGTGCTCCTCAGAAAGGGGAGGCAACACTACTCCTTTTGACGAGTCCACCTGGGCTGACCCTAACGCCCCGAACACTTCCTTCTACGGCAAAAGCAAGATACACGCAGAGAGGGCGGCTTGGGACTTTGTGAAAGACTTACAAGGTACACTCAGACTGCATTAAAAACTTACAAGTTACAGTCAGATTCTGTTAAAAACTTACACAAAGTATAGTGATTCGAGACATTGATAAAGACTTACAAGGTACAGTTAGACTTAACCCTATCCATACCTCGTGTTTTACTATTGTATCCGTACGACGTGGGGAACTCTGTGCCATCACTTTCCAAAGAGGAAATTTACTCGTTAATCCAATCCATATGCTTTGCATAGTAGTCTGTCAAAATTATTTTTGGAAAAATACTGTAAGTTTCAAAGAGATCTTCATACTAGAAGTATTCTAAAATGTTTAGAATACAACCCGTGGGGTACAAAGTGACCCTAGGGCGTACGGATAGGGTTAAAAGATATTTTAAAACTTACTCAAGGTACAATCAGATTTGGTTAAAACTTACACAAGGTTTAGTGAGAGTGAGACTTTCTTAAAAACTTCCAAGGTGCAGTCACATTTTGTTAAAAATTTACAAGACTGCATTAATAACTTTCAAGTTACAGACAGATTTTGTTAAAAATTTACACCAGGTATAGTGAGACTTTGTTAAAAACTTAGAAGGTACAGTTTGTGTATGTGTGAGTGGATGAGAGAGAG